TACAAGAAACTAATCTAGCTAATGAAATCAAAGCTAACGCAAGAAATTGAAAAATCGCTCAAAACGCCTCCCCGAGCCCACGTCTCGGAATCATGTAAAAGTTACCAATTAAGAACACACATTTGCTCATGAAATCACTCGTACCAAAATTATCCAAATCCGATGTCTAAATCCCACTTAACACTCAGAAATTCGGTTGGGGAATTTTTCTCCCATTCTCCCAACTTTCTCACTCAAATTCCTTAATTAAATGGAGAAAACGACCATAGATTAATCAAATACAACCAAAAACATGTTAGGAATCGTTACCCCAAAGCTTTCTCTGAAAATCCCTCAAGAAATCTCCTTCTCCCGAGCTCAAAAATCAAATTTGTGAATATGAACCTCAACCCTCAATTCTGCCCAGCGATCTTAGCACTTGCGGGCCATGGGTCGCACCTGCGATGCCACATCTGCGGAAAATCCCTCCCAGGTGCGGAAATCACTTAAGATGGCTGGGCCCGCATCTGCGACAGTGGGGGACGCACCTGCGCGTGCGGGCCTGCGGAACACTGTCCGCTTCTGCGGTCTTCCTCCGCGCCTGCGAATCCCTGGGCGTATCTACGGGCATCGCAGATGCGTAAATTCCTCGCACCTTCGACCCTGGTCATGCCTCTGAATTCCGCATCTGTGCCTGTTCCTCCGCACGTGCAAGCCCGCACCTGTGGTCTCCCCCCCCCCCCCGCAGGTGTGAAACAACAAAACCAGCAAAAACTCAGCAACTTCCCTAAGTCCAAAATTCATCCGTTAAGCATCCGAAACACACCCGAGACCCCCGGGACTTTAACCAAACGTACCAACCAATCCTAAAACACCATACGAAATTAGTCGAGCCCTCAAATCACATCAAACAATGCTAAAATCACGAATCACCCTCCAATTCAAACTTAAAGAACTTGAAACATCCAACTTTGACAACTGATGCCAAAACCAACCAAACTACGCCCGATTGACCTCAAATTTTGTACACAAGTCATATTCAACAATACGGACCTACTCCAACTTTCAGAATCGGAATCCGACCCCGATATCAAAAATTCCACTACGGCCCAAAACTCCAAAAATTTGACTTTCGCCATTTCAAGCCTAAATGAGCTACAGACCTCCAAAACACAATCCGGACACACCCCTAAGGCCAAAATCACACAACGAAGCTAACGGAATCGATAAATCTCTCGGCAAGTCACAATAGCAGAAAAAGATATGGGACAAGCAGTTAATAGGGGATCGGGGCTATAAATCTCAAGACGATCGGTCGGGTCATCACATCCTCCCCCTCTTAAAATAATCGTTCGTCCTCTAATGAGTATAGAGACATACCTGAAGCGGTGAAAAGATGAGGATAATGGCAGTGCATATCCTGCTCGGTCTCCCAAGTTGCCTCCTTGATTGGATGACCCCGCCACTAAACATTTACTGATGCAATGTTCTTTAACCTCAGCTTCCGAACTTGCCTGTCCAAAATGGCCACTGGCTCCTCAATATAGGATAGATCCTTGTCCAACTAGACTGAGTTGAAATCCAACACATGAGACGGATCGTCGTGATACCTCCGGAGCATAGAAACATGAAATATTGGATGAACTCCATCTAGGTTGGGAGGTAAGGCAGACTCATAAGCAACCTCCCCAACTCGCCACAACACCTCAAAGGGGCCAATAAATCTTGGGCTCAGTTTGCCCCTCTTTCCGAACCTCATAACGCCCTTCATAGGCGTAACCCAAAGCAGGACCCGCTCTCCCACCATGAATGCAACATCGCAAACCTTCCGGTCCACACAACTCTTCTGTCTGGACTGGGCTATGTGAAGTTTGTCCTGAATCACCTTCACCTTCTCCAAGGCATCCTGAACCAAGTCCGTACCCAATAATATGGCCTAGCCCGGCTCGAACCAACCCATTGGGGACCGACACCGCCTAACATACAGAGCCCCATATGGTGCCATCTGAATGCTGGACTGATAATTGTTGTTGTAGGCAAACTCCGCAAGTGGAAAGAACTAATCCCATGAACCTCCAAACTCCATCACACACGCACGGAGCATATCCTCTAGAATCTGAATAGTGTGCACGGACTGCTCGTCCGTCTGAGGGTGAAAAGTTGTGCTCAACTCCACCCGAGTACCCAACTCTTGCTGTACGACTCTACAGAACCACGATTTAAACTGTGTGCCCTGGTCAGAGATGATAGATACCGGCACGCCATAAAGTCTGACAATCTCTCGGATATAAACTCGAGCCAGCTGCTCGGAAGAATAAGTAGTCATCACCGAAATGAAATGAGCTGACTTAGTCAGCCTGTCCATAATCACCCAAAATGCATCAAACTTTCGCTGAGTCCGTGGGAGTCGAACAACAAAGTCCATAGTGATCCTCTCCCATTTCCACTTCGGAATCTCTATCTTCTGAAGCACCCACCCGGTCGCTGATGCTCATATTTCATCAACTGGCAATTTAGACATCTAGCCATATACTCTACTATGTCCTTCTTCACCAATAATGCTACCTTAGGTCCTGATACATCTTTGCGGCACCCGGATGAATGGAGTACCGCGAGCTATGAGCCTTCTGGAGAATCAACTCATGCAACTCATCCACATTGGGCACACATAACCTGCCCTGCACCTTTAATGCATCATCCTCCCCAATAATGACCTCCTTAGCATCACCGTGTTGGACCGTGTTCTTAAGGACAAGCAGATGGGGGTCATCATACTGACGCTCCCTGATACGATCATAAAGAGAAGACCGAGAGACCACACAAGCCAATACTCGACTTGGCTCAAAAATATCCAATCTCACAAACTGACTGGCTAAGGCCTGAACATCCAATGCCATAGGCCTCTCTACTGCCGGTAGATATGCTAAACTCCCTAAACTCTCTGCCCGGCGACTCAAAGCATCGGCCACCACATTGGCCTTCCCCGGGTGGTACAAAATGGTGATGTCATAATCCTTAAGTAGCTCTAACCACCTCCTCTGATGCAAATTAAGATCCTTCTGCTTGGACAGATGCTGCAAACTCCGGTGATCAGTGTAGATCTCACAAGGAACGCCGTACAAATAGTGCCTCCAAATCTTCAAGGCATGAACAATAGCTGTTAGTTCAAGGTCGTGGACAAGATAGTTCTTTTCATGCACCTTCAGCTGTCTGGACGCGTAGGCAATCACCCTACAGTCCTGCATCAACACCGTGCCGAGGCCAACTCGCGACGCATCACAATAAACTGTATAAAACCCCTAACCTGAAGGCAATACCAATACTAGGGATATGGTCAAAGCTGTCTTGAGCTTCTGAAAGCTCTCCTCACACTCCTATGTCCACCTGAACGGAGCACCCTTCTGGGTCAGCCTGGTCATAGGTGCTGCAATAGAAGAAAATCCCTCAAAAAACTGACGGTAATACCCCGCCAACCTAAGAAAGGATCTCTATAGCTGAGGACGGTCTGGGCCAACTTTGCACTGCTTCCACCTTCTTCGGATCCACCTTGATCCCCTCACTCGACACAATATGACCCAAAAATGCCACAAAATCTAACCAGAACTCGCATTTTGAGAACTTTGCATACAACTTCCTTTCTCTCAAAGTCTGAAGCACCGTCCTCATGTGCTGCTCATGATCCTCCCGAGTCCGGGAATACACTAGAATGTTATCAATGAATACGATGATGAAAGAATCAATATAGGGCCGGAACACGCTGTGCATCAAGTGCATAAAGGTTGTTGGGGCATTGGTCAGCCCAAATGACATTACAAGGAACTCGTAATGGCCATACCGAGTCCTGAAAGCAGTCTTTGGGATATCTGGATCCCGAATCTTCAACTGATGATAACCTGAACACAAGTCAATCTTGGAAAATACTTTGGCACCTTGTGGCTGATCAAATAGGTCATCAATCGAGGCAAGGGATACATGTTCTTCACTGTGACTTTGCTCAACTGGCGATAATCAATACACATACGCATAGAACCATCCTTTTTCTTCACAAACAACACAGGAGCACCCCAAGGTGACATACTGGGCCGAATGAAGGCCTTATCAAGCAACTCCTGCAACTGCTCCTTCAACTCCTTCAACTCAAGAGGAGCCATACGGTATGGAGGAATAGAGATGGACTGAGTTCCCGACAACAAATCAATGCCGAAATCAATATCTCTGTCAGGCGGCATGCCCGGAAGATCAGCTGGGAACACATCTGGATAGTCCCTCACTACTGGAACTGACTCAACTGTAGGGGTATCAATACTGACATCTCTCACATAATCTAGATACGCGCCACACCCCTTCTCAACCATTCATTGAGCTTTAAGAAATGAAATAACTCGGCTGGGAGTATACTCTAAAGTACCTCTCCACTCTAATCATGGTAAGCCCGGCATAGCCAGTGTCACGGTCTTAGCATGACAATCAAAAATAGCATAATGGGGCGACAACCAGTCCATGCCCAAGATAACATCAAAATCTACCATGCTGAGTAATAATAAGTCGGCTCTGGTCTCAAAATCACTAAGAGTAATCAAACATGACCAATACACGCGGTCCACAATAAGAGAATCTCCCACAGAAGTAGACACATAAACAGGGGAACTCAAAGAATCCCGAGATACGCCCAAATGTGGGGTAAAATAAGAGGACACATATGAATACGTAGAGCCTGGATCAAATAATACCGACGCATCTCTATGATAGACTGGAACAATACCTGTAATGACAGAGTCGGAAGTAACTGCCTCAGTATGAGCCAGAAGAGCATAATACCTGGCTTGGCCTCCCCCTCTAGGGCGACCTCGACCTGCTCGACCTCCACCTTGAGCTGGCTGAGTAGGTGGGGTAGTAGCTAGTGATGAAACCATGGCCTGAGGACTCGGTGGAGCACGTGGTGGCTGAGAAGTCTGGGGAGGTACAACCCTCCTAAGTCTGGGGCAATCCCTCACCATATGGCGGGTGTCGCCACACTCAAAACAATCCCTCGGAGGGCCTAGATGTTGTGACTAACTCGGGCCAAGTCTGCTAGACTGGCCGCTAAAAGTACCCCAAGCAGGAGGCACACTAGATACTGGAGGTGCATAATAAGGCTCCTGGGGCCTAGAAGGGGCTAGAACACCACTGGCGGCTAGAAGAGCTGAATGAACGGGGCGACCCACATAACCCCAACCATGGCGAGCTGTTGGGGCACGAGCTCCAGAATAAGAACTAATCTCTCGAGACCTCTTGGCCTCTCTCTCCTCTCGGTCCAGGGCAAGCATGCCCTCCAATCTCTTAGCAGTACTCACAACATGCAGGTAAGGAATATCCATCTCCAGCTCCCTGACCATACAAATCCTGATACTAGGGTGGAGTCCCTCAAAAAATCGTCGAACCTTCTCTCGAACTGTGGCAACCAAGGCCGGTGCATGTCGGGCCAAATCACTGAAGCAGACTGCATACTCTGACACAGTCATAGCACCCTGGCGCAACTGCTCAAACTTCGCGCGCCATGAGTCCCTGAGGCTCTGAGGGATATACTCTCTCAAAATATGTCTGGGAACTAAGTCCATGTAAGTGAAGTTGCCTCATCCAGACTACTCAGCTCATAAGCACGCCACCACTGATAAGATGCTTCTCTAAGCTGGAAAGTGGTAAAAGAAACCCCACTCGTCTCCGATACGCCCATAGTACGGAGAATACGATGACACTCCTCCAGAAAACCCTGAGCATCATCTGTAGCCAATCCGCTGAAGGTAGGTGGGTCGTACTTCTGGTACCTCTCAAGTGTCAGCTGCTTTGCCTCAGGAGCGGCTGTCCTAATCTTATGTTGTACTGGGGCTACCGGCAGCATAGGAATGAACTCTGGGGCCTGATCAACCTGGACCCTCTGCTCAGGAGTGTGGGCTGCGGGAGTCTTTGCCCCTCCCCCGGCCTGAGATGTGGCGGGAGCTAACGGAATCAATCCAGCATGAGCTAATATGCTGAAGATGCTCATGAACTGGGCTAGAGTCTCTTGGAAGCCTGGTGCAGCAATAGGAACCTTCGGTGTCTGCCCTCCAGCTAGAACTGCTGGGGGCTCCTCTATCGCAGCTCGCGCGGGTGCTCTGGATGCACCGTGTGGCCGTACTCTACCCCGGCCCCGGTTTCTGGGGGCTCTAGTAGGGGCGCGGGTGCCTGGTCATGTGATCCTCCGGTACGGGTCCTCACCATCTGCGGGAAAGAATAGAATAGAGAATTTTTAGAATTTGATGCTAATAACTCGCACGACAAGGAATCAGAGAAGTATGTTTGTTCCTAACAGTTCAATAGCCTCCCGAAGATAAGTACAGACATCTCCGTACCGATCTGCGAGACTCTAATAAACCGACTTGTGACTCACGACTCCTATGAACCTAGATCTCTGATACCAACTTGTCACGACCCAATTTATCCCTCCATAAACTGTCGTGACGGCACCTAGTCTCTACGACTAGGTAAACCTAACTCTTTTGCGGAAGTGAAACTAAAACATGAACATTAACTACTGACAGTAACAAATATCTAATAAGAAACTAAATGCCACTCGGCATATAAAATTATCACCTCTGAAAATGTACAAAACAATTTTCCAAAACCCAAAATACCATATGTCACAAGCTACTAAGAAGTTTTAACCGTTCTATACATCATTTCTACAGAAAGAAGTAAAATTGAACATAAGGGGATAGAGGGGGACTCAGAGGATCTGCGGGCACGAGCAGATGTACCTTGAAGTCTCCAATAAGCAGCAGAGACTGCAACTAGTGATAAGGCTGGTAAGATGAACCTGGATCTGCACATGTACCTTGAAGTCTCCAATAAGCAGCAGCGACTGCAAATAGTGATAAGACTGGTAAGATGAACCTGGATCTGTACACGAAATATATGTACAGAAAAGGGCTTGAGTATACCACAACGGTACCCAGTAAGTGCCAAGCCTAACCTCGGTCGAGTAGTGACGAGATCAAGTCAGGGCCCTACTAGTATAAATATAGTAAAATAAGACAGAATAAAATATCAAAGAAAAATAAATACGTAAATCTAACAGGAATAGAATCAATGAAAGACAATAGCTTAAAACATAGTGATAACAACAGGGGATCTCCCGAGATACCGTCTCGTAGTCCCAAACATAAATATGCAGGGGGATCTCCCGGAATACCGTTCCGTAGTCTCAAAATAAATATGTTGGGGGATCTCTCGGAATACCGTTACGTAGTCCCAAAATAAATATGCTGAGCAGGGGGATCTCCCGGAATACCGTTCTGTAGACCCAAAGTAAATATGCAGTATAGGGGGATCTCCCGAAATACTGTTCTGTAGTCCCAAAGTAAATATGCAGAGAAACCAACCGAAATAACAATTACAGCAAGAAATCCTACATTTTAGACTATGTTCAAGTCAAGGAAAATAGGAGATTTCACAAAACATGCCGCGCAGAGTTTAAATAGGCAGTTAAACAAGTAGGCATGCTATTCTAGCCTAAACAGGATAGTTACATATGCTAGTGTGTTTCAAATAAGGAGAACAAGTTATGACTTAGTGAAAAACAGAGTTTTACAACAAATAGCCTGTGTATGTATTCGTCACCTCACGTACACGACGCTCACATATCAAACAGTACCAAATCCTAAGGGGAGTTCCCCCACACGAGGTTAGGCAAGCCACTTACCTCGAACCAAGCTTAATCAATCAGTCACAATGCCTTTCCCACGAATATCCGGCTCCGAGTGGCCCAAATCTAGCCAGAATAAATTACATAGCATAAATATATCTAATGATATCAAAGCTAACGTAAGAAATTGAAAAATCGCTCAAAAAGCCTCCCCGGGCCCAAGTCTCGGAATCGTGTAACAGTTACCAATTAAGAACACACATTCGCTCACGAGATCACTCGTACCATTTTAATTATCCAAATCCGATGTTTAAATCCCACCCTACACTCAGAAATTCGGTTGGGGAATTTTTCCCCCGTTCTCCCAACTTTCTCACTCAAATTCCATAATTAAATAGAGAAAATGACCATAGATTAATCAAATAAAACCAAAAACAAGTTAGGAATCGTTATCCCAAAGCTTTCTATGAAAATCCCTCAAGCAATCGCCTTCTCTCGAGCTTAAAAATCTAATTTGTGAATATGAACCTCAACCCTCGATTCTGCCCCTTTTCTGCCTAGCGATCTTCACACTTACGGGCCATGGGTCGCACCTGCGACGCCGCATCTGTGGAAAATTCCTCGCAGGTGCCAAAATAACTTAAGATGGTTGGGTCCACATCTGCGGCAGTGGGGGCCGCACCTGCGCGTGCGCGCCTGTGCAACACTATCCGCTTCTGCGAAAGTTGATCCTGACGGTTATAATGCTGTTAAGAACTTTATGATGCATGGACCTTGCGGAGAACTGGATCCACACTGCCCATGTATGAGGCAAGGAAACTGCACGAAGCATTTTCCGAAGAAATTCAATGATCGAACAACTTTTGATTCAGATGGATTTCCTATTTATAAGAGAAGGAACACAAGTACTCAAGTCAAGAAAAATGGTGCCAACTTAGACAATAGATATGTTGTCCCTTACAATCGGGATTTGCTTGTCAAATATGATGCACATATAAATGTCGAATTATGCAATTACTCAAGGTCTGTGAAGTACCTGTTCAAGTATGTTCATAAAGGGTCTGATAGAGCAACAGCAACTATAGAATCTACCAAAACTGGTGCAGAAAATGATGAGATAAAAAAATATCTAGACTGCAGATACATATCAGCTATAGAAGCTTGCTGGAGGATCTTTAAATTTGACATACATTATAGAAAGCCGGCAGTTGAGCGTCTGCCTTTCCATTTAGAGGGACAAAACACAATAATATTCGAAGAAGAAAAGCGAGCAGAAAGCGTGATTAGCAGACCGGACATAAAAAAAATAAAATTCACAGAATGGTTCAAGGCGAACAAAAGATATGATGATGCACGAGAGCTGACATATTCTGATTTTCCTACGCATTGGGTCTGGAATGCAAAAGACAAAACTTGGAATAGAAGGCAAAGTGGGAAGGCAGTTGGTAGAATTTACTTCGCACATCCTGCAAGTGGAGAACGTTTTTATATGAGAATATTGCTTAACTTTGTGAAAGGAAGCACTTCGTTTGAAAGCATAAGAACAATAAATGGAGATAAGTATAAAAATTATAGAGATGCATGCTACGCGTTAGGATTATTAGATGATGATAAAGAGTGGAATGACTGCTTAGTAGAGGCTGCACTTTGGGCGATAGAAAATGAGTTGAGACATCTATTTGTAACGATACTTATTCACTGTCAGGTATCTGATTCAAGAAAGAACAACTGTGAAATTTTATCAAAAGATATAATATCACTGCAGAGGAAGAGATTTCAGTTGAAAAATTTACAACTAACTGAAAAACAAGTAGAAGCATATACGTTATTTGAGATTGAAACCATACTATTAAAGATGGGAAAAAGTTTGAAAGACATAGATGGAATGCCACTTCTAGATTCTGTGTTACTGCGAGATGTCAGAAACCGTATGCTCAATGAGGAGCTAGACTATGACAAAGAGGAGCTAAAAATACTGCATGACAAATCATTCGCTCTCTTAAATGATTGCCAAAAGTCAGCTTGTGATGCAATAATAACATCAGTCGAGAATGAACAAGGACGATTATTTTTTATAAATGGACATGGTGGTACTGGCAAGACATTTTTGTGAAATACAATAATTTCAAAGCTCAGATCACAATCAAAAATAGTACTTCCTGTTACTACTTCTGGAATAGCAGCTTTGTTATTACCAAATGGTTGGACCGCTCATTCACGCTTCCATATTCCTTTGGACGTTACTGTAGAATCCATTTGTGAAATAAAACAAGGCACCCAGTTAGCTGAACTTCTCAACAGAACTTCTTTAATCATCTGGGATGAAGCCCCCATGGCAAATACGTTATATTTTGAAGCATTAGATAAGACGTTAAGAGATATCCTGCGAGTCAGGTATGAAAATAGCTCTGACAAACCTTTTGGAGGCCTTACAGTCGTATGTGGTGGTGATTTTCGCCAAATATTACATGTTATTCCAAAGGGTCCCGAGCTGATATTGTTGATGCATCACTAAACTCCTCTTATTTGTGGCCATTTTTCACAATATATGAATTGAAGCAAAATATTCGACTATGCAATGGAAAAGTAAGTGATTACGAGGCTGATAAAATTGCTACTTTTGACAAATGGTTGCTATAAGTTGGAAATGGATCCTTTTACGATGATATTAATAAGGAGCTCATCAAATTGCCTTCTGATATATGCATGAAATCATCTAACGACCCAATCGGATTGATTGTTGAGGCAGTTTATCCATCTCTCCTACAAAATTACAATGACCCAGTATATCTGAAAGAAAGAGCAATACTAACGCCAAAAATTGATATGGTATATGAGTTGAACGACAGAATTCTGAAAATGATACCAGGTGAAGGAAGAACATATTTCAGCTCTGACAATATATGCAAAGCGAGCGTGAACACTAACGATGAAGAACTGTTGTACCCAACCGAATTTCTAAATAGCTTAACATTCCCTGGTATCCCTAATCATGACATACACTTAAAAGTAGGTACCCCAGTTATGCTTCTCAGAAATCTAAACCAAACAGAAGGCCTATACAATGGAACAAGATTAATTGTCATGCATCTTGAAAATTGGTCTATTACCGCAAACATCATGTCCGGAAAGAACGTTGGTTCGAGAGTCACAATTCCAAGAATCATTATGTCTCCTAACGATTCAAAGTGGCCATTCAAGCTTAAGAGAAGGCAGCTCCCTTTGGCGCCATGTTTCGCCATGACAATCACTAAAAGTCAAGGACAATCTCTTAACCATGTCTGCTTGTATCTTCCGAAGCAAGTATTCACCCATGGTCAATTATATGTGGCTGTTTCCCGAGTAACAACAAGACAAGGATTAACCATACTAATTAAATGCTGACGAGGACGCAGAAGATCCTACATTCATTAAAAATATTGTTTACAAAGAGGTATTCCAAAATATATGTCCTATGGTTGCTGAGACACGCGAGGTATTTCTTACTCTTTTCAAAACTGTGACATGCACTTTATACAATCTTTCAAATAGTTACTTCATTACAATTATTTCAAAATGTTTGTGCTTTAGGATAACTAGCTACACCATTGATGATTCATGCAGGAATGAGCTCTCAATGCCCATGACAATTTTAAACATCCTGGTTCAGTTGCGCTTAAGCCATCCGAAAATGCAGATTATTACTTTTCCCAGAAGGCTATGCTCTAATTAATATTCATATATTTTCGTATTCACTGTAATGAATCGGAAGAAATAACAAAAGCTACGTACTATTGCTATATAATTATCTAATATTTTCACTTATTAAATGTTCGTGTAGTAACACTATTCAAATTTATTAATTTGTTTCTCAGGTAAATATATACTTTTTCTTGGAAAATTTTTAAAGACTTTTTATTTTTATATAATTAAATATAGATTCTACCTATATTAGCATTATTATATTTTCCTTGCACTATTCAAATGTGTTGTGCTTCAAGATATCATGGTTCTAAAGTATTTATATTGAAATTATTTTGTACATGTCCAATGCCTGCTAGGAGTCTCTACATTTTGGTGAGATTGTATGACAATATAGTGAAAGGAGTGAGATTGAATCATGTCATTCATGAACGCGCGAAGCGCGGCCAATTTACCTAGTTAGATTATAATTGGCAGATGCAACTATTTTGGGCTTTGATTTTCATCTGTGGATTCATCTGAAGTAGGCCACCTTGTTTGAGTACACCAGCCATTAGCTTATATACATAGCGCACTACAAAATTATGCATATATAGCTATAAATATATTGTTGCTAAATATAAAAATTTTCATAGCTAAACACTTTAGTCATAATTTTATTTTTCCGTAGCATTCGTAGCAAGAAGTGGCGTAACTAAAAGTTAGCTATGCAATAATTTTATTCTTTTGCCACGACAAATAAAATGTATAGCTATCTTTATTTTGTAGCTACAAAGTGTTGTATTGTAGCAAAAGATTTAATTTGTTTGCCACGTAACTTTAAATTTTGTGGCTATTTCTATAGCTTAGTTTCGTATCAATAGTACTCGTATTCAGCTACGGATAAAAAATTCATAGCAATGAATTGAAGTATTTGCCACAAATATTTTCTTATTGTAGCTAAAAATTCAAACTTTTAGCCATGAAATATATCTTATTATAGCAAAATATTTTCTTTATTTGCTACGAAAAGTAAAAATATGTAGCCATGTTCGTGATACGTAGCAATTATAGATATATATGTTTAACTACAAATTAAAAATACATAGCTAAATTCCATACTTTTTTGCCACAACACAAAATTGTTGCAAAAAATCTTCTTAATTTGCTATGAAAATAAAAATGTATAGCCATGTTTATATTATGTGACTATTGTATATATGTTTTGCTACGATTCGAAAATCCATAGCTACTAATTGAGAATTTTGCCTCGAATACTATTAGCCACAATAATTCATATAATGTAGGTAAGAAATTATTTTTGGCATGAAATATACCTTCAATTGTAATTATTTAATAACTGAAATATTAAAAACAAACTTAATAAATGTTCAACAATATCATTCAAAATAGTGGAATATTATTTTACTCAAACATATCAATACACTTTTACCAAGGAAATAGTAATTATTCATGTCCTGTGATGACCCAAAATGTCATCTTCTCGTGCCCTCCACAACCAACCGCTCACACCTCCGTACCGGAGCATCTGAGCTTCTCCTCTAAATACGTCTAAGCCATCTAAGCCTCGCTTCCCGCATCTTGTCATCAATGGGAGCCACATGCACCTTCTCCCGAATAACATCATTCCTAATCTTATCTATCCTAGTGTTCTCGCACATCCACCTCAACATCCTCATTTCTGCTACTTTCATCTTCTGGATATGTGAGTTCTTAACGGGCCAACACTCAGCCCCATACAACATGGCCGGTCTAACCACCGCTTTATAGAACTTACCTTTGAGTATTGGTGGCACTCTCTTGTCACAACTCTCTAACCATCGAAAGAATTGACAAAGATCAATAAAAGAAAAAGAATACCTGTTGAATTTGTTGATTCATGTTCTTCCACAACCGTTTCACTCACTTGTTCAGACGAGTTCTCATTAGAACTATTTTCTCTGAGAAAAGAACTCATAAAAATATCATTTTTTCGGAGTGTATATATATCAATTGACTTATCCTTATGCTTCTCATAACTGAGAAGCATATTCTTAACATCTGAATCGTCACGATATTCCACTAACCCATCACAATCACTGATAACTCTATCACCTCTCAAATAAACAAACTTATCTCCCTCAAGAATATTGAAGTTACAAAGTTTTTTTATTTCATCAAGCAGATCAAAGAAAGCTATGAAATCAATATTAATGTTTGCTTTCACCAACTGCCCACTTACATATTTTCTGGAAGGAGAAAATATAAAATGGCCACCATAATGGAAGCTAAATTCCAATTCTCTTGTCACATATATGTTTCCTAAAAAAATCATAATATAAGTTATCTAGATGATTAAACAAACACAAAAAATTGTTTAATTGAAAAGGAATTAATAAAGAATTCAATATTTTATAAAAGCTTTATTGCAATTACCCGAATGAACAATTTCTTCCATATGTTGTGTGGGCAAATCTTCTATAGCAGATTCCTTCTTGGCACTTTCCGGAGGTTCCGTCTCATGATCATCAGTTAATCGATTATTTCTTTTTCGAAGACCATTTCTAAGCATGTCTGATTATAAACAAGTATTTGTAAGACATCAATATATTTTCAATAATTTCCAGTAATAGAACTGGATCGAATTACCCACAAGAAAGGCTGCTGACTATTCACTAGGTCCCAAAGTGCAAAAAATAATCCTCAGTCCACCACCAAAAGAAGGTAAGGTAACGTTGTATCAAGCAAAAAATCAAATACTTTAAGCAAGCCATATTTTTTTAATTTGATCTAGGGTCGAGCCACTGTAGTTTAAACGGAAGTTGGTTAATATATGCTATATATTTGCACCAAGGAAGTTGGTTAATAATGAAACACTACTGGAAAAAGGTGGGCTTACATCTGCCTTTAAGCACAATTGCACAGGCGGCACTAGTACTGATGTAATATTTCTCTAACATTAGTAATAATATTCCCTTTCACAAAAATAAAAAATAATTTAAATTTTCAACCAGAGAATGATCAATAAAGCTCCCTTTTTAAATATCGAACATGGTAGTTTCCTGTTTCTATCTCTTTGATATGGTGAATTGGTGATAATATTTAATCGGAGTAGGTTCAACTTGTTATATGTTACAAATGTATTCAAGACATGAATCTTGCAATATTTGATTACACATTTGATAACTTAATCTTGTAATTCATCCACAAAAACAAAAGAGTTATGTTAAAGGAAAAGTGGCGTACCTTTGATGCAGGGGAAAAGGTGTGATGACCCGGACGGTCGTCTTGAGAGTTATATCTCTGATCCCCTATTAACTGATTTTTCCGTATCTAACTCTGCTATTGTGACTTGCCGGGAGGTTTCGTTTTGGTTTTTGGAGTGTTTTGGGACACTTAGTCCCTAAACGGAAAGCTTAAGTCTTAGGATTTTGACCGTAGTCGGAACTGTGTGAAGACGACTCCGGAATGGAATTTTGTTGGTTTCGTTAGCTCCGTTGGGTGATTTTGAACTTAGGAGCGTGTCCGGATTATGTTTTGGAGGTCCGTAGCTTATTTAGGCTTGAAATGGCGAAAGTCGAATTTTTAGAGATTTGGACTGATAGTGAAAATTTTGATATCGGGGTCGGATTCTGATTCCGGAAGTTGGAGTAGGTCCGTAGTGTTGAATATGACTTGTGTGCAAAATTTTAGGTCATTCAAATGAGATTTGATATGTTTCGACGTCGTTNGAGATTTGGACTGGTAGTGGAAATTTTGATATCGGGGTCGGATTCTGATTCCGGAAGTTGGAGTAGGTCCGTAGTGTTGAATATGAATTGTGTGCAAAATTTTAGGTCATTCAAATGAGATTTGATATGTTTCGACGTCGTTTGTAGAATTTAGAAATTTCGAAGTCCATTAGGCTTGAATCCGTGCATAATCCGTGTTTTTGATGTTGTTTGACGTGATTTGAGGCTCGACTAAGTTCGTATGGTGTTTTAGGATTGGTTGGTATGTTTGGTTGAGGTCCCGAGGGCCTCGGGCGTGTTTCGGATGCTCAACGGTTCATTTTTAGACTTAGGGAGTTGGCAGATTTTCTGGTGTTATTGCAGACATTTTTCTTCATCGCGTTCGCGAGGGAGATCTCGCGATCGCGTAGGTCATCTGAGAGGTCAGCTAAAATTGCCCTTCGCATTCGCGAAGATGAATACGCGATCGCGTAAGGTTATCAGGCAGTGCACCACGAACGCGTGGGCTAGGCCGCGTTCGCGAAGAAGAAGTGAGGCAGTAGTGGAGTTTGAGTGTTACTCTTCGCGGTCGCGTGAGGACAATTGCGATCGCGTAGGTGTGAGCAGCTAGTGCATCACGTTCACGTGAGGTGTTACGCGTTCGCGTAGAGTAAATTTTTAAGGGAGCGAAGTTGTTCTTCGCGATCGTGAGGCCTTTTACACGATCGCGATTAAGGAACCACTGGGAAGAATTTAAAGTTAAAAAATGAGGGTTTAAGTTCATATCACAAAATTTGATTGAGAGCTCGGTAGAAGGCGAAATTTGGAGAGATTTTCAGAGGAAGTAATTGGGTAATAATTCCTAACTCCTTTATGATTAAATCCCACTAATCTATGCTTGATTTTATCATTTAATTTCGGATTTGGAGTGGAAATGGGGGAAATATTGAGAAAGGTTCTTAGGCCGAATTTTGGGATTTTGATCAAAATTTTGGTATCGGATTTGAGTGAATT